ATAGTGCTTGGGAAGCATTTCCAAAAAATTAGTAAAATCAATAAAAACCCAACTTGTGCAGTCCAGGAAGACATGGCGGCAACAGCAGCTCGCATTAGAGCACTTCCCAACATCCCGCTCCCGAGACAAGCCCTGAGTAAAACTATAACATCTCCAATAGAAATAAGCGAAATCATAAGATACCTAAACATCAATAAAGCACCAGGGCTTGACGGTCTGGACATGGTTCTCCTAAAAAATATGTCTCGCAAAGCAATAGTGCAACTCCACTACGTGATTAATGCGATCATCAAATGCCAGCACTACCCAGAATGCCTCAAAACTGGGCTTGTTGTACCAATACCTAAACCTGGAAAAGACTCCAAATCCACAAATGGCTACCGCCCCATATCGCTGCTTAGCGCGGTGGCCAAGATCGTGGATAGAGTCCTCTTACGGATTATCTCACACCACACAGATGAGCTCGCACTCATACCCCATGAACAGTTCGGGTTCCGCAAAGGACACAGTACTGTATCTCAAGTGGCCCGAATTGTTCATGAGATAAAAGAGGCCTATAACAGCGATAAAAACACGGTGATGGTCATGATGGACATTGAAAAGGCCTTTGACACCGTCTGGCACGAAGGTCTAATGTCCAAGTTGTACAAGGCTAGAATGCCGATATTTATCATTAAGCTTATTGATGCATATATCACCGACAGGAAAATCCGGGTTAAGGTCAACGAAAGTATATCGGGAGATTTTCCACTCGAGGCAGGTGTTCCGCAGGGGTCATGCCTCTCACCTCTGTTGTATACCCTATACACGCATGATTTCCCTGTATTCGAGCGGACGAGTACGGCATTGTATGCCGACGACACGGCTATATATGCCCACTCGGACGACTCGAATATCGCCAGGGCACAGATCCAGATTCATCTGGACAGGGGAATCATACCGTACTTTGACGAGTCGAAGATCCGCATCAACGGTGCGAAAACGGAAGTTATCAATTTCCACCGAAAAGTTAATAACTCTACGTTGAGCAGACCTTTGACCGTCAAAGGGGTTGAGGTGAGAGACATCACCCCCGTGAAATACCTGGGAGTCAAGTTGGACACCCGTATGTCATTCTGGAAAAACACTAACTACCTGATCCAAAAGACACAAAATGCCATCAAGAAAATGTACCCCTTGATATCCAGGACCTCCCCTCTCTCGTTGGAGAACAAGGTCCTGGTATACAAGCAAATCATCAGGCCTGTAATGACATATGCGTGTCCGGTGTTCTGCAGCATCCCACCTACCCATATGAATAGGTTGCAGGTGCTGCAGAACAAAGTACTCCGTATTATCACCAACGGTGATAGATACTCACGAGTGGCAGATCTCCACGAGAGATGTGGTAATTTGCCTAGAGTCAGTGACTATATCCGGAAAATTTCCAATAAATTCTACAAATACCACATCGCTGGAAGTGACCTTACCCGGAATATGACCACAACGAGAAGGCATCACAACATCCGTAAAAAACATGGGCTGATATATGCATCAACCGATGTTTTTGAGGAGCCAGGTAATCTATAGTCGGGACCCCCCCACAGCCCAACAACATCTACAGGGCTCTGAGGAGGGCCCGGACTGCACAACCCTCCCCCCCCCCAAAAAAAAAAAAAAAAAAAAAAAAAAAAAACGCAAATAAAATAGTGTCAATGCCACTCAAGGAGTGACAAACTGACACTGAACTCGGTCAGACGTGCGGACGCTCTTGGGCCTGATGAGTGGCCTCACAGCCAGAGTCGGGTGCAGGGTGTGGGTAGGTCTGGCCGAGACAAATCAGAAGGAGGTTTTTGTTTTTCCAATTTTGATTTTCCTCCATCACAAAGAAGAACCTATTCACCACTGAGAGCGATTGATCAACTCCCCCACCCCCCTGGGTGACCTCGATGAAATTACCTATATAAAGGGCTCGGCCCTAGGAGATAGGCCTCTGTGACTAACACCTCGCATATACACTCACATTCCTTGGCCAACATCAGCCACCTCTGCACCACGCGGAGGACACAGCACACAGAAGGAGTTCTGTTTTATGTTCTTTCATATCTATATGTGTTTGTAATTTGCGAAGTGATGTAAAAACTATGATGACAAATAAATGATTTAAAGTGTGATAGTCTTGAGGTCACGAGTTCGATCCCTACGTGGGTCACTTTTTTTAATTTTAGAATATGTTTATTGAAATATTCCAGGAACATTCAACATAGAATATTCTTTTGGGTATATTCTATGATTATCTGAGGAATTCCCATTCGCATATTCAGAGAATATTCCACAGATATTCCGGAATATTCCAGATTATTTCTAGAATATTCCAATATTCCAAAAGGAATATGATAGGGAGATTCATGGAATATCTGGTGCTGTCTGGGGAGGCATCACCCACGAGACGAATTGCCCTTTTTTGGACAGAATCCAACAGTTTCAGGGAATGTTTGGGTGCTGCACTCCAAATATGGAAACAGTATTCCAGGACAGGTCGGATTTGTGCCTTATAGAACATAGGCAGCTGACTGGAAGTGGAATAGCTCCTGGTCCGCAACAAAACACCAAGTTTTTGAGATGCACTTTTAGCAATTCATCTCACGTGATTTTCCCAAGAAAGGTTATTGCTAATAGTAATGATAGTCTTTGGAAATAACAAGTTTTCATCGTTCAAGTTTGAATCCCTTGATTGGGTGGAACTATTGAAAAGGAATATTCTGAGATATAATCATGAACATAAAATAATAGATATAGTTATATAAAGAAATACATCGAGAATTCGCATTCTCTATGTGATGGAAATATCAATTCTTTCTTGGTTTATTCAACAGAAAACAACTACTTTCCTTGCTACATGCCACGACGAACATTGAATTACATCTATTGAATACACACGATAAGAATTTGAGGAGAACACAAAATCTTCTGACGTAGAGAATTTGCATTCTCCTTCCTATAAAGATATGCACATAAAATCATTCTGAATATTCAACAGAAAACAACAACTTTTCTGGCTATTTGCCACGTACAACATTGATTTATATCTGTTGAACATCCAAAAAGAGAGCATGAAAAATGAAAATCCTCTGCAATTGAGAATTGACATCATCTCTCAAATCGGATAAAATATAGTTATTTAACCAACTAGTGTATTAATGAGGGCGATTAATCATCGAGATCATTATTCGCCTTTTAATATACAAGTTGGTTACAACATTTTTCCGTCGACTATATTTCTCATTTCTCCTGCAATGAAGAAAACTTGGTTCGCGAATTCATCATTCATCCGGAAACTGCTAAGAATCACCCAGTAGCCTTGTTACTGACATTGGTGACATTTGACATTATTTGTCGAAATCATCAATATAGAAAATGAATTCCTTGTGTTAAAAAACAGGGATAAAAATCGTGTCAGAAACAGGAACAGGAGGAAAGGCGAACCCGTCAACGGAAAATCTTCGGTGAAATCCATATTTTCGATTTAAATGCAGATTCCATGAGTTATAGCATAAACAATGAATGCACGCGGTGTATGTTTGGTTGCCTATGAAACAATCGTGTATTAATAGGCAAATCGTTCATTAATAGGGGTCATTAATGAACGATTTGATATACATTAAACTTAGTCGTTAATACGAGGTCGACGGAAAATATGATTCATCATGATATAAATATAAATACATAAATATAAAGATATGAATATTAAAACAGCGTACTATTATTTTATCCGAATCCGAATGATTCGAATTTTGATGTTGAATTTGTACAATAATGAGCTCTACTTGAATAATACACTGGGTGTCCCTATTCAGATAAAAAAGTCGAGGTGCACTTCGATGTGACCCTGTATACATAAGATTCATTCAATAGCATATTCCGAGTGAGCATCATCAAATATACTTGATGACCAAATTTCAAATAATTCGATCTCGTGGTTGAGGGACATTTTAGCTGGGACCAGGTGTAACTATGAGATTCTCATCTCAAAATAGTATATTCTTTTAGCTGTTGAAGCCCTGCTACAAAAAACTGAATCACCCTGTATGTGCGAATCAATACCAGAAAATACAGAGTGAGGATTGTTTGGTGGAATCTGTCTGGAATTATGAGTTCGTAGAAAAAGTATAGTATAGTATGTAATGTGCCCAAAATACTCGTTACTAAAAGGACGTTTCTACCTATAACACCTACCCTATTCGTCAAGACAAAGTACTTACTAGGGACGTCCTAGGGACATCCACTTTCCGACAAAAAGTACATCCAAGGGATGTCCTCCTCGTACGTCCCTGGGATGAACCAAGCACGAAGAAAGGATATCCCTAGGACGTCCCAAGGATATCCCAGGGACATCCCTTCGACAAAAGAAAAAAAAATGTAGGTCGAGTGGGGATTGAACCCGGGACCTTTAGCACATCAGGTACGCACCTTACTCCATTGGCTAATATGCCGTCTGAAGATTTATTTACAGATTCATAAACAGTACAAAACTGAAACCTGAATACATACAACTTTGTTAGGATTTCATGTATAATCATTATCATTCTTGGATGTTTGAAAATAAGGGACATTATGTATTTACGATTTCTGTTTGCGAAAAATTGTCATTTCCTGAAAAGTTCTGAGACTATATTGTTTATTATCATTACAATTATTTTCCGGAAGAGAAACGAACATTCTCAAAAAAATTCAACTCAATATTCTGAAGAAATTCAATGACTCTGATGTGAATGGATATCAGATATCCCAGGGACACGAATAGGATGACCTAGGGATGTACCGGGTGGGATGTCCACAGGACAACCAATGCGAGACATCCCCTGGATGTCCCAATCATGCCCATGGGACGTACCTACCTAGGACAATCCTGTGTTGTTAGGGTTTATAATGGGTTTATATAATATACTATTTAGTACTTTACTACACTACTGCAATGGTGTTGTAATGTTTGATATCACATTTTGGTAGTGGAAACTTACGATATTGTGGAGCATCAGGAATTCCAGCTTCAGCCAATTTTGTTGCATCGATATCTTTAATTTCGAAAGGTAATTTTTCGAATAATTTTCTACCAGTATCTCCCATCATCTGATAGTGATAAAACACTCAAGGTAATTGAGACAAACCTTGTTCATTAACTATAACAATGACAGAAATGTAAATGAGATACAAATCTCAAAACACAAACACTCTCAGAATTGGCACAATGAGGAAGATAACTTTATTTGTTCAAGGTGCAATCTTGAGCTTGAATTCGATAATGTACAAGGTGACCCACTTATTTCAATAATGAAGTGGGTCTCAAGGACTTACTTCATCTGTAAAACTAGGTAAAATCGTTATAAACTGATCGATGACGAGCAACTTTGGTTTGTTGGATAGGTGTTCGAAATGTCCATCCAACAAGAGGTTGATTTCATTCTTGGATTGTTATCTCACCAACTGCGATGAATATTATTGAACCATTACCATAAATTGGGAATTTCTTGCACAAAAAATAATGAAAGATTCTGGATCAGGATCACTTGAAACATACCTATATTGATTTTCACCATCATAAAAAAAGAGTCATTATTTTTTGAATACTTGTGGTACTATGGACTAATCTATGTCAAATTTTTATTGAAGATTATTTCAAACATATCTATACCCATGTGCATAGGAACTTTTTTACCATTTCGAGCATCGAAATGGATGTCTTCAAAGCTATGGTTACTCCTGACAAGTGTATGTTGGGAACAGTGAGATCGGCTTTTGCAGAGAAAAGGCATGCTTGTGTTTTGTTTGCATTGAAATCTACCAAGTTATTGGATCCATATTCGAGAATTGTTGCCAAGATCATATTTATGTTGTCAACATTTCTCCCTCGTTCGTTTCTGATTTGCCTGGCTGGTATTGGAGCCCTGGAAGAGATGGCGGTATGGAGGGTACTATCATTCGCGAAGCTGTGTACTGGACATGAAGTTGCTTTCAACAAATCTTTGAGATGAGGTAGAACTAGTGTTGGTGCTAGAATTGATCCTTGCGGAACACCAGCATCTATGATAAGGGAGTCAGATGAAACTCCGTCGACCACTAAATGGAGAGACCTGTTTGAGAGAAAACTAGCTAGCAGAGAACATAGCTGGGGAGGCAAGTCATAAGATGAAACTCCGCCGACCACTATACATGGAGAGTATACGGTGGTAGAGTTTTCAAAAGTTAATATAGATAGCCTACTCAATGGAAAGTTATAATTCCAAAATACCAAATACGAATATAAAGTTCATAAACTATCGATAGTATTTCTGAAATTCGATCTAATCAATAAAATCTATTTCTCTGCATTGTGATATTTGGGTCGATTCTGTTCGGATCTTGTTGTAACATTGCTAAGATAATGATATTGTTATGATCATTACATATAACAATATTGCTATGAAGTTCTGTATTCTGTTTGCAGAGTAAGTGCAAGACTGGTTATAAGTTCGAGTGATAGCAATATTGTTGAAAAATTGAGAATTTTTGAGCTGACAACACTGTTTTCAACTCATTGTTTAAGTGTTACGTATCGATTTTGCCATTACTCCATGAAGAAGAAGAGTTCATGATTATCTAACTTCTCAAATTAGTCAGTTCTGCACTGACATTATTTTACAAAATTATATTGTTCAAATCGAGAGATTTTGTACTTGCTGAATCTGGTCGTCGTTGTGCGACTGGTGCAAGTAAGATGGATACTTTTAGCCATCTTAGGTGCAAGTAATCAATCATGTCCCCGAAATGAGAACACAAATAAAAGCCGGATGAAAATAATCGTGATTTTGTTTTTGATATTTTATCAAAATAGCTTGATAAACCATCCATCAGGCAACTAAAATTTTTCTGATATGCCGAAATTTTAATCTCATATTTCCTCTACAAATTGGAACTTCAAGAAAAGGTTTTCAAGTAGTTGTTCACAGTAGTGAACCTATCCTATATGTCTGTAATCACAATTCTAAGTTTTTCAATAATTCTTTTACGAATTGAAACTTTGATGAAAGGTTTTCGAGTAGTCAGTGAGACAACTGAACTCTCATAATATGTTTCAATCCACTGTTTTCTGAATTTTCATACAGTTGGAAGAATTTATAGTGCAGAAACAAAGAATCCACTACCTTGTTATAAGATAGCAAGTACAAAATTGTCGAGATAGCAAGAAAGCTGACCAGATATCATTGAAATTGACAGAACATATTGCCAAAAATCGATGATTAGAATTCCACTTTTCCGAATCTTGCTATGATAGCAATATCTTCTCTACAACCATATTGCTATTCGCAAACAGAATCGACCCGATTGTCATATTAACGATATTGCTATAATCATGGTAGTGAAAAGCTTTTAAGCGAAAATCGTGCATCAGATTGAACAAATTGTGCTAGTCAAATTTGGTTAGAAATGATTGGGAATTTTAGGGATGATGCCATTCTCGAGATTAATCAGTGGCGTACCATCAATGTCTGCCAAAATAGGTATGTGATATTCCATAAAAACGCTACTGGTGACAACCAAGAAAAATGTGGGTCACCAACTGATGCCTCTTGATACATAGTACATGAATGCCAGATTTCATCAGAATATCTAAAGTAGTATTACAGATATTAATAAAAAACTATCAATTTTTGGAAAGTTAGGATGTGTAGGTCATATACGTTCATATCAAACATTCTTCTTGGAATGGGCCCAAAAATCGCCTTCCCAAATATTGACATCCAATTATGCAACACTCTGTATATATTAATGTTAGATATATTACGAACTGGACAGTGTTAAAATATGATAATGTATGAATAATGGCCTGCAATGATCTCTGGATGATGCACCTTGCCATAATAATTCTTATTGTTTTTTTCGGTGTAATAAATACTTCGGGCGATTCGGCAGATAAACTCCATCGTTCTAGACTAATCTAGATCATCAGCTATGACAGATTGAATCAAACTGTGTTATGGAAAATTGAGAACATCGAGAGAAACTGTTTGTCTCATTCAATCGACGAAGTAGATATATTTATGTTTACTAAGCTTGAGTTTAACACTATCAATATGACTATTCCAGGTAATTTCCATTGAAGAGCCAGGGTAAATAACGACGAAGCTCACAAAAAGCGAATTTTTCAGTAGAGCCTCTTCAAAGTGTGGAACTATACCCAAATTGCAATATTTGTGATAATGGTTTCGAATTTTGACTCATGAAAGTTCATTGCAAGCTTAGTTCATTTGTGTTATTATTTTCTCTTTCATCATCAGGAAATCTTGTTATTCTTGATGAACTGTTTGAAACTACCAAGTCAACTGAGCAAAAATGATGAATGTCCAGCATCACGGGCAAGGGAATTGTAGGATTATCAAATTATTGCTCCAGAAATAATGTTTATTCGATATCACAGAATCATTTAATGAGTATTCAAGGGGAATAATTCTTATTAAATCATTATTTTATTCAGTGATGAGGTAGGTTCTCAAAGTAAGTACGTGAATCTTCATCGCAAAACTTTGAAAGCTTCTGTATGTCCCGGAATTTTTCTGGTCCCAGTTGAATGAAACCTGTAAAATATATTGTCATGAAGCATAAATCATACCCAAGATGAGAGGTTATTCCTACCCCTATAAAGGTGAGCTGGTAAACGAAACTCCTTTTCCTTATTGATTTGCACCTTCTTTCCAATAATATCGGCTGACTCCCATGCACCATTAAAAGTTTCTCGGAAGGACACCAGCCTGGGGTGGTCAATAGACAACTTCAACTCCTTGATTGGTCTCGAGGGAAATGGACATTTCTTCTTATAGAAATGATTGAGATGTTTCTCCCAAGACCTGAAATAATGTTGTTCACCTCTTCAACATCAAATGGTGTGGGTTTCACTCTAGCAGTCTTCAAAACATTAATCCATTCTTGTGGTGTTTCTGCTCGAGCTTTCTGGTTCACGAGGCAGAAGTCCTTATCACACTCCATGTACGAGTGTCCTCGAATAGGGAATGTTACATGAATATAATCGAGTTTCTTCTCGAAATGGATAACATGATGTAAGAAGCGAAACATAGTATAATTTTTATTCTGTCCTCCGCACGAGTCACAGAATATTCGAAGTTCTCTTACATCATAATCCAAATAATTGTATATATAGTGAAGCAGCAGGAAACAAACATTGTCACTTTCCTTTTTACCAACTATTTCAGGATATGTATAAAATATACTCTGATTTGTGGAAAGCACATGGATATTGAAACTGTATAAAGAAAGCTGCCTGGAATAATGAGTATCGTTGGTTGGAATGTTCGGGTAGGGCAGATTTTTTGCATAGTCGATGCATATTGCTTCTCTTCTATTACTCTTCTGACTTTTTTTTTTTTGCCTCTCTCTTCCTTTGATAGAACGTGTTGGCTCTCAGTAGATGCAGTTTTTTGTCTTTTTCGAGTCTCCTGATTTCTAACTGTAACAATGAATTTCCCATATCTTTGGACAATTTATTTTCAATTGATTTCAATTGCACAGTGAACTCATCACATGTTGAACATGTATCGGTACGTGGGTATCCAAAGCTTATATTAAACTTTTCATTGAAGATCAACCTGAAACTATCATAGGATATCTTGGAATTGGGATATTTTGCTTTAAACGAAGCGAACATTTTAGAGATATTGAGGTCTTCAGGCCGATATATTTTCTTGGTTTCATTCAAGCTATAGTGGCTTTGAATGAAGAAATATGTTCAATCACTTTGTTAACGACACTTTCAGCCAGCTGAAGTGGTCTATTTTTATGTTTTCCTCTTCCGTCTTTAGGAGGAGCACCCATAGATTTGAGAGAATTCTGAATGGTTTGAACTCTTCTACCAGTTATTCCATGCAACGATAAAAATGCCTTATAGCATACCTGTACATCTTTAATATCTCCATTTTGTCCAGGACATCTTACTCTGAATTTGAATGATGATTGGTGAAATGTAGAAGCCTCATGTTCTTGTTTCCTAGGCCTCCTTCTTTGTACGGGTACTAATGATATCAGGCCAGAGAGATACGTATTTTGTTCGTCATATGTTGGAATAATATTGAAATCGCTTATGATCTTCTTTTGGATAACTTCTGGTATCTTGGCGAAACATTTTAATAATTT